TCCCAATTTTCTCCAATTTCTCAATTTTTGTTACAAATCAAAAGCTTGAAACTGTTACGACTAATGTAAAACGACTTTAAATAGCACTTTACTTCAAACCCCAAAACCACTAAACCGAAAAGATGATAGTGAAAACCACATTATACGAAAAGAGGTTGGCAAGGTTTATTAGTTTGCAGGGCAGGTTTTGGACAACAAAAGCAAAAACAAACCGTTTAAACCTCACTACAGTAGTCATTGTAATTACGCTAATTGCTCAACTCAAATCAGCTAGTGCCACTTTGCCAAATGTTGTCAAACTAGGCGGCCTGTTTGAAAATGGCGATGAAACCGTTGAGATGGCCTTTCGGGACGCCGTCGAACGCATCAACTCCGATGAGACGATCCTACCTAACACAAGGTTGGAGGCAGTCATCGAAAAACTCGAACGTTGTGATAGTTTTCAGGCGTCAAAAAAGGGTACGTTAAACTGATCATTTGTCACTTTGTTAACTTTAGTCAAATTAATAAACTCCAATGAGCTATTAAAGTTGTGGTAGAAAGTTAGCTAAAAACTTAGACAAAAAATAAAATATCTTAAATGAAAACCGTATGTTAACTTTAAAACGCTTACTCTTTTAATTGAAAACACACAGTTTGCAGCCTCCTTCACCACGACGTGGCGGCCATCTTCGGGCCGCAGTCGATTGAGACGAGCGCCCACGTTCAGTCCACCTGCGACGTCCTCCACATGCCGCACATCGAGACTCGGTGGGACTTCAAGTTTGAGCCGCCCTCCAACCACTCCATCAACCTCTATCCGCACCCGAGCACGCTGGGCAACGCCTACCGCGACCTGATCCGCCTGAAGAACTGGAAGGCCTTCGCCATACTCTACGAGGACAATGAGGCGCTGGTGCGCATGCAGGAGATCCTGAAGGACCCGTCGCTGCGCGACAAGCGCATCGTCGTGCGGCAGTTCCCCATCGGCACCGGGGAGTACCACACCACCTTCAAGGAGCTGCACAAGCTGCAGATCAAGAACGTCATCATCGACGTGCCGCAGGAGCACATCTACGAGGTGCTGAAGCACGCGCTGCAGGTGAAGATGCTCACCGACTACCACAACTACTTCTTCAGCTCGCTGAACGTGCACACCGTCGACCTGAGCGACTTTGAGTACATCGGCGCCAACATCAGCGGCTTCAGCCTGGTGGACACGCAGTCGAAGGAGTTCGTGCAGATCATGGCGAAGATGCAGGCCAATGCGGTGGCCGCCTCGGAGACGGTCGGCAACGGACGCGGCTGGTCAGTCGATGGAGAGTCCATCTATCGAACGGTGAGTAGTAGAAATGGGGGAGGGGGATAACTGAACTGTTAGATAGATCAAAAGACAAATAGTGTTCGAAGTTTAAAAGGAGAAACACTGTGGTGATGGTAGTGACGCCTAGTGTTTGCGCATTAAAGCACTCAACTGATGATTCAATATGCCTTTTCATTTGTTTACATTGCATATTTGCTCACCAATCTTCACTTTCAGAACTTTACGGTAAGTAAATGCTCTAAAATTACTTGTATAAACTTTGTTGACTTTTGGTGTTTTTGTAGACGGAAGTAGCCCTGGTCTACGACGCCGTTCGACTATTTGCTCAAGCCCTGCACGACATTGACACCGCCGCTGCCTACACCACCTTCTCCACTAGTGCCATCAGCTGCGACAAAGAGGAGCCGTGGAAGTTTGGCGATGTCATCTACAATTACATGAGAAATGTAAGCTCGATGATCGAGATAGAGGCAAACAATGTTTGAAATATAACTCTTTGCTTTCAAAACAGGTAAAAATTAAAGGCATCACCGGTCCGCTTCGTTTTGACGAGTTTGGCACTCGGTCTAACCTTAAATTGCGCCTTCTAGAGCTGAAAGGTGGCCTAAAACATGTAAGTAAAGTTGTACTTGTTTTCTATTTAAGAACATTGACAGCATTTTAAAACACACCAAATATCAAATCAGGTCGGCGACTGGACGCCTGAAAAGCAGGTCACCTTTATGAGCAACTACTCAAAAACAATGACCGAGATTTACCGTGATTCGTTGAAAAACAAAACGCTTACTGTTGTGACTATTGAGGTAAGTGGTGTTAATGATATCCTATTAGCATCAACATTTTGCCATCAAATAACAAACATTTTACCATCACCACCATCATCGTCATCATCATCATCAGGGAAAACCGTACTGCATGAAAATACCAAACACTGATCACCTGCCCGTAAAGGAGCAGTACCACGGCTACTGCATTGATCTAATCAAAAACATTTCAAACATTCTCGAGTTCAAGTACGAGTTACGGCTGGTCAATGACAGCAAACACGGACGGAGAAATGAACGCGGCGAGTGGAACGGAATGATCAAGGAGCTTATAGAAGGGGTAAGGACTTGGTTTAGTTTATTTTACTGGTTAATCCAACGGACAAAAATAATTTTTTCAAATACCAAACCTTTTTTAGAAAGCGGACATAGCAGTGGCCGACTTGACCATCACCTATGAACGGGAGGCAGCAGTGGACTTCACCATGCCCTTCATGTCGCTCGGCATTGGAATCCTCTACAAGAAGCACAAGAAGGAGCCCCCAAAGCTGTTCAGCTTCATGTCTCCGCTGGCCATGGACGTCTGGGTGTACCTCATCACCTCCTTCCTCGGCGTCACCCTCTTCCTCTTCTTCGTCGCCCGTTTCTCCCCCTACGAGTGGGTCAATCCTCACCCGTGCATCAAGGAGCCCGACGAGCTGAAGAACAACTTCAGCATGAAAAATACCCTCTGGTTCACCATTGGCTGTCTGATGCAGCAGGGCTGCGACATCATGCCCCGGTCGCTGTCCACGCGAGTGCTGGCCGCCAGCTGGTGGTTCTTCATTCTCATCCTCGTCTCCTCGTACACCGCCAACTTGGCCGCCTTTCTCACCGTCGAGCGCATGGTCAACCCGATTGAGTCCGCCGAGGACCTCTCGAAGCAGATTAAAATCCCCTACGGATGCCTCAAGTCGGGCAGCACGGAGGCCTTCTTCCGCAACTCCAACTTCAGCACGTACGCGCGCATGTGGTCCTTCATGGAGTCCGCTCGGCCGTCGGTCTTCGTCGAGTCGAACGACAAGGGCGTGGAACGGGTGGAGAAGGGCGACTACGCCTACCTCATGGAGTCCACTACCATCGAGTACAACACCGAGCGGAAGTGCGACCTCTACCAGGTGGGTTCGCTGCTCGACTCGAAGGGCTACGGCATTGCCACGCCCCCCGACTCACCCTACCGCTCCATCATCTCCGACGCCATTCTCAAGCTGCAGGAGGACGGCGTGCTGCACGTGCTCAAGGAGAAGTGGTGGCTGGTGCGGGGGCGGTGCGGCAGTCAGAAGGAGACGCAGAAGGTGAGCGGCAGCGCCTCCGAGCTCGGCCTCGCCAATGTGGGCGGCGTCTTTGTGGTGCTGGCCACTGGCAGCGTCATCGCCATCATCATCTGCATTGGCGAGTTCATCTGGAAGATGAAGAACATTCCGCGCACTGAACGGGTAAGTGAAGGGCGGTATTTTTAAGATTGCTTTTTAGTTTTAGTGTATTTTACTTTTTTGTTGTTGTCGCTGTTCACAGGAGCACATCTGCGTGGAGCTGCTCCGGGAGATCAAGTACGTCATCTGCTGCTACGGGAACACGCGGCCGATTCGGAAGGTGAGCGACATCAACCCGGCGCGCAACCTGATCATCCAGTCGGGCAATGGGCTGCCCTTCATGCCCATGAGCAGCTACCAGGAGATGAACAACAAGAACATGTACTCTTGACTATCATCGGACTCGGTGCTCACTGAGGAGAGAACCTCGCTGGGCGGCAGTGCTGCCAATGGCAATGGAAGCAATGGCAATGGCAATGGCAATGGCAACAGAAATGGCGAGAATGGAGCCAATGGAGCCAATGGAACCACAGTTACAGCTGCAATGACAGTGGGCAGTGGCCATGGCAGTGTGTCTCGCGGCGCCTCACTGGACGACTCCATTGACCTACTGTTCCGCCACCACTCCAGTCACCAGTTGGTGAATATGATCCACAGCAGCAACAGCAGCAGCAACCTCAACACCAACATTGGCAATAGCAACAATGGCAACAATACCTACGGTGAACTCAGCTGAGGTAAAAGCAGCATTTAAAGTGGTTTAAGTAATAAACAGCGATGGAAACAACATTTCTCTCACCTTGCTCAAGTGCACCGAATCCGTAAACTGGTAAACTCAAAATTTCAAAACAGATTTATATTTTCCCTAGGTAACAAAACTTTATACTCTTTTTTCAATTCATCTTAACAACTATTTGCCCAACAAATATGAAGCTTATGTAATTGCTCTCTATATTTCTTTCTCTCGTTTACACAATTGTTTTTCTTTGTTTGACTTTTACACAAAATGCCAATTTTTTCATACACACACACGCTTTTTACTGCATCAAGTCACATTCCATTTGATGATCTTACTATCTACACAAAAAACACACAGTCACAAACATGCATTTCCCATTCAAACATTTGCTGCACTCACCCCGTTTGCCTCACACGTACCTCCAAGTAGTTGCTTATTTTACCCAGTTTTAGCAAACTTTTTGTTTTTAATGTTGTTCATTAAGGTTCTTTGTGTAAAATTGTTTTTAAATAGTTTAGGTTCTTTAGTAAATGCAGTTTTTTTTGTTATACAGTTTTGTGAATGCACTAGTTTAATTTATTTGTTTTATATTGCATTTAGAAATTCGCTTTTATACACTTGAACACATTTATATTTTTGTTTTTCTCATCTTGTCATTAAGGTTTTATCATTTTTTAAACAAAAAAATGAGTTTTTTAATTCATTTTGACCAGAGCCTGATTCAAAGTACAAAACTTTTTTCAGATCAATTCGTGTGATTTTTGCGACTTTTTCTGAATAATTCATTTTAGTGAGAACTGTACAAAAATAAAATATTTATTAACATAAAACATATGTAATTACTAAATCACTTTGTTTACCATATTTCTTTTTAATTTCTAAAACACAAAATTTAAATTATCATTTTTTGTTAAAAGTTAATATTGCAACCAATTATTCTGTTTATGTTAATCTTTTATTGTTTTATTTGCTATTCTAAAACAATACAATTTTATGATTTGTGTACTAATATTAAAACAAAAAATAAAACTAAACAATCACAAACTTAAAAACTGTGCATTTAATGAAACAACAAATGTTTGCTAACAAAAAACAAAGAGTATTTTAAATTCTTTTGAAACAACACTATTAATATTTAAAAAATTTGTAGGAAACGATAAAACCGACTATTATGGCCACTGAGTTTCCAAGCAGGTCACCAACAAGAGATTCTTGACTTTTGAGGTCAACCTTATCTAAGGAAAAACTGCCTAGACGACGAGTGGCAGACAACTCTGACGACTTTGGAAGAAGGCGCTCAACACCTTCTCGAATTTCTTGAACATTGCCCCTGTTCAGCTCCATTCGTCGATCTTCAGCACGACGCTCATCAGTTCGACGTCCATCAAACTCCCGTTCTTCTCGCCGGCGAGTGCTCTCCTGATCAACTTTTTGCCGCCGATCCTCTCGTCGTCGTGAACTTACCTCTTCTTCCACATTATTTTCCCGCTCCTCTCGCCAAAGTTGTTCTACTTCCTCTACGTCAGATCGCTCCACTCGGTCGTCGTCCACTCGCTCTTGACGTTCTTCTCGTCGAGCGGCCTCCGTTGATCGGCGTTGTTCTTCTTTCTCAGCAGACAAGCGCCCAACCTCCTCTCGGCGATCCTCACGTTGAACTTCTCGCTCTCGTTCTCGCTGATCCCGGTTAGCTGATCGCTCCTTTTCCTCACGTCGGTTTATTCCGTCATCAAGTCGGCGATCCTCTTCTGCAGATCGTCTCACCTGACGATCGCTGCGACGGTTTTCACGTTCTACTTCACGACGATCCTCTCGACGATCCTCGCGACGAGACTGGCGACTGAGCTCCTCCTGGCGCTCTTCAAAGCGGTCCCGTTTTTGCTCTGATTCTCGACGCTCAGCTCTTTCAGCGGATGATCGCCGTTCAAGGGCAGCACGGCGGGAGTCACGACGCTCATCAGCTCTGCGTTCTGCGTTGAGCCCGCGTTTTTCCTTCTCCCTCTGATCACGTCGTCGGTCAGAACTCACCCGATTGTGTCGCTCCTCCATTTCTCCTGCTCGATCCTCACGAGCTCGAGTTTGACGACGAACTTCATCAACTCGACGGTCATCATCGTTTCGAGCGACCTCAACTTCTCGTTGTCGTTGATCAACTCGACTCGATTCTCGGCGGGACTCAACAACTCGATCAACTTCTCTCCGGTCCTCCGGTTCAGCAGCTCGTCGTCGACTCTCGAGACGCCTATCCTCCTGATCAAACTGTTCCTGTCTGCGTTCTTCAGCTTCTGTTGTAGTTGCTGACAGGCGACGACGGGTGTCTACATCGTCATCTCGGACACGAGAGCGCAGTTGATCAGTGCTACCGTCCACTCGGCGGTGGTTGTCTTTGCCGTCCTCAAACAGTTCCGGCTGGCGAGTTTCCCAGTCAAAGCGGGAGAGAAGTTGCTGTCCACTGCCGGCCCCTGGCAGCAGGGTCAACACCTGTTGACCGAGTGCACCTTCAAAGGATGTTCCATTCACCAGGAAGAGGAGGCTGAAAAGAAGGGGAAAATTCTGAAAAGAAAAAAGGTGATGTTTAAGTTAAAGGTTGGAATTGGTAAGCAAGTATACCTTGATAAAAGTTCGCATTAGTGTGCAGTGTCAAATTAAAAAATTATTGTTGAAAGTCACAAAAGCAAAATTTTGACTGTGTTTTCAAAATTACAAATGTTAAAAAGGGGTATTTTTTAGTTTATTTTGGCAAAAGGTATTAAGCGGATGAATCTCTTGAAATTTTCAAGTGGTCCTTTATATACTGTTTTGGTGAGTTGCTAAAAATAGAATTAGCCGATATGTATTGAACATTGCATTGTTTTTGCCAATATTTTTATTACATGTGCAAACAAAAAACGTAACACCAAGTTTTCAATAATCCCACAACATTGTTTCCGTGACACGATCAAAATTGAGACAAATAACATTATCATTTTTCAAAATTTACTATGACGTTATTGTTATGTTGGATATGATGGATGTTCATTTAACCACAAAACAGCATGTTTTACGTAGAACAAAATCTTTTTGATTGCTGATAACACATGAGTTCTTTGATATTTAATACTTTTGAACTAACTAGGTCAAACCAAGTAAGCAACTAAATAGTGAATAAAATTAGTACAGCAAAAACAAATATTCAAAGCATGCAAAACGACTATCCCAACACGTTTGTTTGATTAGATTGAACAAACAAAAAACTCAAAAAATTTATTTTTGTTTTTAAGTTGACGTCATTACATGTTTTTCGTAATTTTGTTACAGCTTTTAAACATTTTGCTGATTGTTAGATGATTCTCGAAAGGCCGCTTTTAGATGCCAAATTACAATGCCTCCTTCCGTTTGACGGCGGTCACAAATCCGTTTGAGCATTGCTTTGAAAGCGGCACATCTTTGCGGCGGAATGCGGTCTGCAAAGTGAGTGAGAATTTCTGCAGTAGTAGCACGGTTTGGCGCCTCTCTAGAGTGATACCGCAGAAAATCACGCAACCTTAGTAGAAGCTGCTCTGAAGTACAAGAACGGTCAAGTGGACTTGATTTGGATGAGGAGGAAGATTTTGATGGCAATGCAGAACTGTTGACGGAAAGTTGCGGCTTTGATCTGTTTGAGTTTGTTGCTGATTTCGGCATGGTTAAAATTGAATTTGAAACTTTTTCAAAGTTATTTCCAACAACGCAAAAGTTTTGCTGATTGGCGTTTGCTTTTATAAGAGCAATCAACTCGCTGCTGCTGCTTAAATTTGTTCCTGCATTAGTTCCTAAAACTTGTGAACTGACGTTGGGATTTCTTTCTGCAGCTATGTTTGCCAATGCATTTATGTTTATTTGTCGATTTGCCGATATCAACGCATTGTTTGGTGTTCTATTGTCAGCATTAAAAAGCGTTTCCGGAGAGTTTTCTCTTGAATTTGTGTTTGATTCATGTTGTTGCAACTTTTCGATTGCTTCACTGGCAATCTTTTCTGCCTCTGCTTCAAGATAGTAGTGATCAGGAGCAGTCACATTTTCAATTTTTTCATGTTGCAGCACTGATTCTAAAGCATCGCCTAAAAGTCCTCGTAATAGGTAGTCTTCTTTTTTCTTATCTTTTTTGGATTTTTTCTTATCTTTCCTTTTCTGCTTTTTACAAACAGAGCTTGTTTCATCACTGTCATCGTTATCTGAGTAATAATCTTCCCGTGCAACAATTTCTTTGATGCGTTTTCCTTCACATTTGACGCCTTTTTTAATTTTTGCAGTTTTTGAAGTCGAGCATTCATTTGTCGTAATATTGTTGCTTGTTTGCGTGTTTGATGTACTTTTGTCTTTATTAAATTTTTCTGCAATTTTTTTACTTAGCAAACGAGCTTTCTCCCGCAGCTCTTCTCGTTTTTGCTCTGAGATCACTGGATTGAGATCAATTTTTGGCTGTTCAGCAGCTGTTTTTTGTTTTTTAGTGTCACTGGCCGTGTGTGGTGAATTTGTTTCATCTGATTCTGCAACTTTTCGAATTTTAGGCAGATCCTTGCAGTCTTTCCGCACAATCATTTGATCTAAATTCTTTTGCTTGCTGTAAAGTCCTTTAATCTTTTCCTTCTTCTTTTTCTCATCTGAAAACTTTGTCTTAGCTTCAGAGAATAGCTCTGTCGTTTCATTAAAGTCGCTCAGCGTAAATAGCTCGTTGAGGTCGTTGATTTTAAAAAATCTCCGGTGATTGGGGTCTTTAAGTACTGAATTGGTGAGATACTGTTTGTAGATCTGCCGATGGTAAATCTTCTCCTCGACAGTGCCCGTTGTGAGCAGGCGGTATATGATGACGTCCTGCCGTTGGCCAATTCGCCAACACCTCTCCCTCGCCTGCATGTCAGTGCACGGGTTCCAGTCAGGGTCGTAGATGAGCACCCGATTCGCCCCGGTCAGATTGACGCCCAGGCCGCCCACTTTGGTGGTGAGCAGAAAGATGAACACCGCCGGGTCGGTGTTGAACTGACTGATCAGCCGCTGACGGGCGCCCATGGCCGTCGTGCCGTCCATTCGCAGGTAGCTGTACTGGCGCAGTTGAACGTACCGCTCGACAATGTCCAGCATCTGACGAGACTGCGTGAAGAAGAGCACTTTGTGGTTTTGTTTCTTCCTAGATTAACAAACATAAAGACAGTTAGTTTTGTATACTTAAAATGGTTCTATTTGTTACCATAGTTTAAACAAGGCGTGCACGACGGCCATCTTTCCTGACTGGGCGAAAAACTGCTGATCAAAAGGATCTTCTGTTGAAGTAGAAAAGACGTCCTCTTCAGATGCCTTCCGATCAAAGAGAAAGGGGTGATTGCAGATTTTCCTAATGTTGATCAGTGCGGCGAACACTCGCTCATCACCACGACCAATCTTTCGGACAATGTCCGTGCCCAGGTACCCCTGGTACAGCGCTCGCTGTCGGTCAGTGAGCCTGCAGAAGAGGACCTGTTCGGTCTTGGCGGGCAGATTGAGCGCCAGTTTGACGTCCTCTTTCGTTCGGCGCAGCAGGTACGGCTGTATGACCGCCCTCAACTTGACCGTGCACTTGTAGGCGACCTTGATCTGCAGGTCAGTGGCGCCGACGTAGCCGCCGCGACGAATCGGCTCCGCTATGTCGGCGGTGAAGTCGCGCAAAGTGCCCAACTTTAGCGGGTAGATAAAGTCAAAGAGCGACCACAGCTCTCGAAGGTTGTTCTGTATTGGCGAACCGGAGAGAATCAGTCGGTGGGGCGTTTTGAACTGAAACAAATGGAAAAACAGCTCATTAAACACAGAATTAAAACAAACCAATAACAACACTTTCTACATACCTGCTTACAGTGAACAGTCACCTGCGTCTCAGGGTTCCTAATCTTGTGGCCCTCGTCGAGGATGACGTAGTGCCAGTCGTACCCGGCCAGCTGGTCAATGTACAGGCTGACACTGCTGTACGAGGTAATGAGAACGCTGCCACCTTTGCCTCGGTCCTTCTCCTCCTCTGCTCTGCTGTTCGGCGGAAGGCCGGCGGCGAAGATCTCCCTTATCAGCTTCCGCTTATCGGCGCCTCCGTAGGTGGTGGTGGAGTGGAGGACGGCCACGCGAAAGGGCGGCCACCAGCGGTGCAGCTCTGCCACCCACTGCGCCATCACCGTCGCCGGACAGACGAGCAGCACCGGGCCCAGACTTCGGTAGTAGGCGGAAGAGGAGGGGATGGCGGTCGGACGAGCCGCGTGAACACTGCTGTGTTTGAGGGCAACCAGGAAGGCAATCACCTGAATGGTCTTGCCGAGGCCCATCTCGTCGCCGATGATGCCGCCGCTGACCGCTTCGCGGTGGTGTGCCCACAGCCAGCGCAGGCACTCCTGCTGGTGGGCGAACAGGCGCTCCCAGAGGCGTCGAGGAATCAGCAGCTGCTCCTCAGTTCCGCTCACCGGAACTAGCTGGTTGTACTCCGCCTCGGTGATGTTCGCCTCGGCCAGCTGCAGGCGGTACTCGGCCAGTCGTCGGCGGTACAGCCGTTCATCGCCGTCGTCTCCAGAGGTAGAAGGGGTTGCCTTTTTGGTAGCCGGTGAACCTGCCTCTGGTGCCTCAAAACGCCTCATTTTTCGGTTTTTACCAAACTTCAAAGCACTGGCTGACCACTTTCGCTTTCTTCTCCCTTGTTTTGACGACCCAAGTTCTGCCGTTTTGGGTGCCTGCTCAATTCGGTCCACGTCGTCGTCGTAAAAGTCATTGTTCACTTGCTGGTAGTCAGGGCCGTCGGCAGTGTCAAGATCAGACTCCGCAGATTCGAAGGCGTCTACTTTGTAGGTTGGATCGTTTTTGGTGTCGTCGTCATTGTCGAGTTCATCGTTGCTGTCGTTTTCAGTTTCACTGTTTGAAGCAATGTTTTGAAAGTTATCTGAAAGAAGGATTGAATCGACAGAGTTATCTATTTCATTGCTTTCAGTTTGGCTAAAATCTTCAAGTTCATTTTGGGGCATCAAAGTATTTTCAGTATTCTGATCTTCAGTGAAAGTGTCATCAACATCACAGTCTTCAAAGTCAATAACCAGTTTGCC